GTTTACCAGATCCGTGTCCACAGGCTGCGAGTGAAGTCAGTCTGTCCGTGTGGAGCTCTTTATAGCCCAGAAAACATGGAGTCACATACGGCGCTGTGTGAGCCTGCTTCAAACAAAGATGTCACACGGCGTGGGAACGAAGTTAAACGTGTGTAAAATCTGCATTTCTAATTGAAATGACCGTCACAGGAGGAGGTCCGTGTTTCGGCGTCTCTTCCAACACCACAGTGACAGATTGTGAGGATGATGTCATCCTCGGATAAATCCCAGAGGCGTTAAACGCTGATTAATGGAGCGACGGCTGGAGCGTGAGCCGGGTTTACTCAGATGTGTTGAAATTTGAATGCAAGCAGGGAAAACTTTTGTGCTTCTGAATGCGTTCAATAATGTTAACAAATAAAGACGCTTCAGGCCTCCGTGACTCTGTGTGCTCTCTGTGCAGCTCCTCAGTGAAAAGATCAGCGGGGCGGAGGGGACGAAGCTGGAGGAAGACTTCTTAGAGATGGAGCGGGTGAGTCCAGCACACGCCGAGGGTTGCGGGCGGCCTGCTCACCGCTTTCACTCATACGCTCGGGACAGAACTGGGAGGTCTCGTCATCTTCAGCTGACGAAACACTTCACTCGGGCCGTCCGCTTTATTTAACTCGCCGTTAAAACGTTTGTTAGCTTTAGGAATTGTACGATTTCACAACAAACTGAACCGTTTGCTGAATTTAATCTTTCAGATGTCATCCTGACATTTAACTGCAACCTTTTTTCAGAAAATCGAGGTGACCAGCAAGTCGGTGCTTGACCTCCTGTCCAAAACAACAGAGTACCTCCAGCCTAACCCAGGTGCGAAACACCTCCATGTTTGCTGTTCTTTGAGCTTTCTGTGCTACAAACTCAAACCTGCGTTTGATTCTTTGTTTCCTCGCCAGCGTCTCGAGCCAAACTGAACATGCTGAACACGATGTCCAAGATCCGAGGGCAGGTGAAGACCACCGGCTACCCCCAGACCGAAGGCCTGCTGGGCGACTGCATGCTGCGCTACGGCCAGGAGCTGGGAGAGGACTCTTTGTTTGGTACCAGCTCTCAGATGCCTCAGGTCCTCTAACAGCTGCACAGAGGCCGTTACAGGCGGAGCGCCAGCGCAAACCCTGCACTGGTCATCTTTGGCCTTTCACTGCAACATTTAACATGGACGCAGCTGCTTGGTACAAGACGCATGCAGAGCGTCAGTGTTACAGTGATGCAGCGGTTTTCAAAGATTGCTCCGTAATAAAATCTGCACAGTGCACAAGTTTAAAAGCATCAATGTTGTGAATGCTGCTTTGCCTCCTTCATGACGTCAGGTGTCAGCGTAACGCTCGGTCTGCTGCAGAACGCTGCATGTCGGACAAAAGCCTGCAGGACTGTGTGCAGGTTCCAGTGCACAGTCATACAAGGCAGAAGTGTCGTTTGTAATAATGGCCAGCAGGGGGCGTGGCCTCAGGTTAGAGGAGGCGGTACGATTGCAGCCTGACGTTCATTTTAAAATTCTGGCCGTCAGAGTCGGAAAGCAGCCGAGTCTGAAACCAAGTCACCGGCCAATGAGTGTGCAGCGTCCCTCCTTTGAGCTGGTCACTCGCTGTGAGGTCAGGATGCAAAGAACTACAGATTTCCTCCCTCGTCGTGTCCCTGTGTTTGCGCCCCTCTGTGCTGCTGTTAGTCGGCTGCGTGTGTCAGTGTTGAATGAGGAGTTTGTACCTTGTAGATGATTTTATTGAGATCACTGTGATAACGGCTCATTGGAGGCGGCACCTCTCTCTGTCCTGCAGGATGCGCTCTGGTGGATGTGGGTGAGGCCATGAGGCAGATGGCAGACGTGAAGGACTCTCTGGACATAAACGTCAAACAAAACTTTATTGACCCCCTGCAGAATCTACAGGACAAGGACCTCAAAGAGATCACGGTAAAGACAGACGAGAGACTGCGAGGTTCTCTGACCGCTGGCGCCGTTTGCAGCGCAGCAGAAACACGTGCTGAAATTTGGTTTGAAATTTGCCTGTCGGGGCGCTGCACGCACAGATCATCCTACCTCCGCTTTACTGCGCGAGATGCTGTGCAGCAAACCTGCAGCTTCTCCTCTCCGTGTGCCGAGCTAATGCTAGCTGCTAACCCTCTGACCTGGACTCTCAGGTGTGTGGGCGGAGTCACATCAGATATTTGGGCCATTCTTCTGATAATTTCACTCTTACACTCGAGTTTTTAGACGACGTTATCCTCAGTACACTCGCCTCTTATACGCCGCTCGTGGCGTTTAGCCTCGTGTGACCTCCACCTGCACACGCCTGATCACTTCGCCTCCACATCAGCTCAGTAAATCTGTTCACGATGGTTTTAAATGAAATGTTTTTGTAAAGAAACACACAGTGTGACGTGCGTGTCGACGTGTTTCTGCCGCTGGTGTTCGCAGCATCACCTGAAGAAGCTGGAGGGCCGCAGATTAGACTTTGACTACAAGAAGAAGCGTCAGGGGAAGATCCCGGACGAGGAGATCCGGCAGGCGGTGGAGAAGTTCGACGAAAGCAAAGAGCTGGCTGAGAGGAGCATGTTCAACTTCCTGGAGAACGACGTAAGAGACGCGAAGACGCGGGTAACGGGAGGGTTTCACACGTGAGACGTTATCGTTTAACGTGTGTGTGTGTGTGTGTGTGTGTGTGTGTGTGTGCACGTGGCCACCAGGTGGAGCAGGTGAACCAGCTGTCAGCACTGATCAAGGCGGCGTTGGAGTACCACCAGCAGTCGTGTGAGATCCTGCAGGAGCTCAGTGGGAAACTGCAGAAGAGGTAAGAGAGCCGCTTCTCCTCCGCTGCGACCGGGGTTCGTGTCTGCGTGGCGTTCGCGGCGCTCGCGGCATTCTTCGGGACGTCGTTTCACGCTGTGAACAGCAGGTCTGTCAGCAGCGTTTTTAAAGCGGGAGCTCACTGAGTTTGTCTGTCACCGAAGGTGTTTCTCACACTTCAGGTTCTGTTCTTGATGAAAGCGTCTGGATTTGGCCGCCGCTCGCTGTCGGCGGATTGCGCAGACATCAGAAGTTTTATCCTCCTGAAATGTCAGAGCCTGTTACTCCATGTTTCCATCAGTAAAGGCTAAAAACACTTCTTTGGTCCTCGTTAAACACGCGCTCAGTAAGGTAGAAGTAGCGAGTAAGAGCGCTTATAAACCCTGAAATATGCTGAGATCTGAGGTTTGTGGGCCCGTTTCCCCTCGGAGCGTCCGGTCTGCCGCCGGAGAGGAAATGTCGGCTTTGATTCGAGTCGCCTCCCTCTCTCTCTCTCCTCCTCCAGGATATCCTCGGCCAGCAGCCGGCCCAAGAGAGACTTCAAGCCAAAGTCGATCAGGAGCAGCATCGAGGCGCTCGACAGCAACCAGCACAACGGCCTGTCCTACAGCTCCTCGCTCAAGTCCACAGGTACGCCGTCCGTCTGTGTGTCCGTCTGTGTGTCTCAGTTTGTTTCCATCGTTGCGTTGAGTCCCACTGTTCTTCTTCTGCTGTTATAGATACGCAGATCAGCCACACACTGAACGGGAAAAGTAGGTATTCCTTTATGTAGCCCCCCCACACACACACACACACACACACACACACATCATGTTCATCGTGTGGGAATGTTTCCATTTTTACAAACTGACAGTGAACGTCTCACCTGTTTCCGGGCGTCCTGACCGCCGCTCTGCTGCCCACAGATGGAAAGTCGAGCTGTGACGTTCACAGGAAGTTTCTCTCCATTTATGTTTAATTTAAAAACCTGAGCTCAGCTGCACGTTGTCACCTTAAACTCTGACACAGTGACGAGCTCCAAACGACTAACAGACGAAGCGAGGAGTAGACGTGAAGCTTTTCCTGCAGCTGTTGTTGGAACGCTGCTGCCCTCTGCTGGTGGCAGTCTGACACCACAGCGGTGCTCTGATCCTCTCATTGTTTTTGTTGTTTTGTGCTCATCGCCATCTCCATCTGTCTCCACATGTCGTCCAGCTGATCACATATCATCTGTGCAGCTGTCATGGCCCGACACCCCCGCTACCAACGGCAACGCTCACCGTGAGTAACGCACACCGACGCCGTCACACATCTGCCCGCATCTGTGAGCGGCAGCCCCGCGATTTTGTTTTTGATATCCAGCAAAACGACAGTAAATTTTCAGCTGATCAAACATGAGATGTGGGTGCATTTTGTTATTTTTCTCCTCGTGATCTTCGTCTGTTGTCACGGAGCAAACGTCACCCACTGGATGTCTTCTTACCGTCTTTGTCTGGATGAGTAACCTGCTCTTTAACCCTGTTTCAGACAAAGCTGGGATTTAACATTTTAAAATATGAAACTGTTTGCAAATAATGAATTTTAAATCTCATTTTAAAGACAAAATTCGAGAAATGGCAGATCAGAGGCTGAAACTGAGAGATTTGATTGTTTCTGTTCATCCATTTAGCTCTCGACCCATGCTGGGGGGGTCTGTGTGCTGCTGGGGGGGTCTGTGTGCTGCTGGGGGGGTCTGTGAACAAGACCCCTCCAGCAGAGGACACATATGAGTCCACAAACCCAGCAACCTCGCTCAGACCAGGTGTACAGGGCCTGGAGCCGGGGCTGAGGGAGGGGCTGCCGGGTACTAGGAAGGAAGGAATTAGGAAGAGTGAATAAAGGAGGGAAGGAAATAGGAAGAATAGAGGAAGGAGGGAAGGAATCAGGAAGAAGGAAAGAGACTCGCAGTAAACCAGAGCGTTGTGCTTTCATTTTGCCGCTGCGTCACCAGCCCCGTCCGTCCATCAGAGGTTTTTAAATAAAGTTTTTGTTTTGTCTGCAGAGCCGGAGGTTTTGGATCAGCCCTGCTGTCGCTCCCTCTACGACTTTGAGCCGGAGAATGAGGGCGAGCTGGGCTTCAAAGAAGGCGACATCATCATCCTCACCAACCAGATCGACGAGAACTGGTACGAGGGCATGATCAACGGCGAGTCCGGCTTCTTCCCCATCAACTACGTGGAGGTCATCGTCCCCCTGCCTCAGTGAAGAGCGCCACCGCCGGGCCTCCGCAGACTCTCCTCGGCCCGACTCGGGCGTGAGCGTGCGGCGGATTCTGTTTCGGACCACAGACGCGGCTGTTTCGTCCCGGCCGACTTCAGATTAAACGTCTCATTTACTTTTGTCGTCTGTTGATATTTAAGAACCTGAACGGAAACCCGAGCCTTTAACGGGGCCTGTCGCTCCGCCCACCGTCCAGCACCGCCGCCTCTGCCGGGTATCCCGACGCCGCCGTCCGACCACTACGAACATTTCCTCACTTTATGGTCACGCTAGTTCTGCTAAAAGTCACCTTTCAATGTTTCCTGGTTGTGTCAAAAATGATGTGTTGCAAATCAGAATCAGACAGGAAGTGAGCCGCTCCACATTCCCACAATCCAAGGATGGAGGTGCTTTTATTTTGAAATGGAGCTCGGCCGGGTTCTGGTTTTAATGTGAGAGACGTGAGCGGGTGGAGTTTGGTCTGTGTGACTTTGTTTGAGGCCCAAATCTCATCCACTTCATCCTGACTTCACTTTGTTTCTTTGCTTTTGTAGTTTCGGCGTCGTTTCTGTCCTTGGTTACAGCTTCACGCTGAGACTGGGACGTGGACAGCAGGAGACGTTTTAATGGTTTCAGAAACACGAGCAGTCAGGCGATCAGTCGTGTTTCCATTTTGGAGCCACGGCACATAGAAAAATCACATGGCACCAAAACCATAGTGACCATTTTTAGCCCCCACTGCACCGCCTGCTCGCCTCACTCTGCGTTCTGTGATGGGGTTTGGTGGCGGTCACGTGCCGGTCACGTGCCACGCTCTCAGATCTCAGCGGTTAGCACAGGCGTGACCCTAACGGACAGAAACGGTGACCCAAGCTCCAAAAACCCAAACTTCACCTTCTGTAAGTCAGAGTATTTCAAATGTGAAGCTGAATGTTTGGCCTGTGTTGGTTTTCTCCACTGGATTTGACCTTTCTGTTATTCTGCTGCCCTCTCGGCTCCGACGGCCGGTCTGTGTTTAAACCCGTCTTCACGTTTGCCCGCCGGACGCGTGCACGGCGTCGCTCTGAATGTGTCTCTCTGTGTTTACATGCTCTGACGGTTCGTTCTCAGGATCGGGGACGCCGCCTCGTCCGACAGCCTGAAGCTGATGTTTGAGCTGTCGTCTGCACTGAAGCTTTTTAGCCTTCCACGTCGCACCTTCATCCTCCTCTTCAGCACTTTGAGTTTTTCACACAATCACAGGCAGATAACCACAGATCTTTGTCCTGTTCTGTGAGACTGAAGCAAGTGTCTGTTTCTCATCTTCAACCTGAAGACGTCTGTGAAACTCGTCCAGCTCCTAGTTTTAGTGGATGAGTCTGAGGCTTTTAACCAGCTGCCGTCTGTTTAGTCACCAAATAAGAAGGAAACCAACAAACGCCGTCCTCTCTTTGGCTTTTTATTTAGTTTCACACTTATTTGATCATATTTTTGTAAGAAAGCTCCTGTTTTTATTTCCCATCACTGTAGATCAGCCCCGGCTCCGTGTGCACCGCTTTAAAGGACGCGTGTGATGATGATGATGGTGTCTGTGAGACAGCTTGTGATGGACTAGCAGCCTGTCAGAGACCCAGAGTTGGACACGTGACTTAGCCCGAGAACAGCAACGTTTCAAAACTTCGCATCATTAAAGTCCAACGACACGTGATTGACGTGCTGAGAGAGAAACAAAAAAGACTTTTTTAAACGACCACTCGGTGACGTTTATGGAAACATCGCGTTGGTGCTTCAGGGTCAGAAGTCTTCGTCAGCAGCGTGCGAGCTGTGCAGACGTCACACGACTCTGTTAATTGCGGCCTTATTTGTCGAGACGAGTCAGAGCATCAGAACATGAACTGAAGCTTACCTGTGAGTAGGCTGGAGTTCAAATTAAAGTTTACCTTCAGGTCGGACGATTACGCGTGATTTATTACGTCTCGGTTTACGGCGCCAGACGCTCTGATCAGAGGTCAACAGTCACAGCACAGCAGGTTTATTTCCACATCGAGTGATCTGGCTGTGGTCTGATGATCGCGTCGCTTCTGTTAGTTCGTCTTTTTCAGTCTGTTTCTGCCTGAGGTCAAATCAGCAGGTGGCTGAACGTGAGGAAACTGTATGATCTGTGATTTTAGGCTTTTAATTTGAAAGTTTAACAGGAACTGAGCCCAGTAAAACCGTGCTTACTCTTTACTCCAGCGGAGAGGAGGGTTTGACCACCTCAGAGTTCTTCCACCTGTTTTTGGTGTTATTGTAGTTTTTTACTGTGGTCCAATCGCAGACGCTCGGCTGCGTCTTTGATCCAAACCTGATTCGGCTCCGTCGTGTTTGGATCCGCTCGACCAGCTGTGCTGGACTCTTACTGTTAGCTTCATTAGATGTATGAGGATTTTTTTATTTACAGTTAATTATGAGTTTGGGGGAGCTCTTACCTACACAGAGGACGTCCTCCACAAACAAGAGAGGAGTTGTGAAATGAGCGGACCCCCCCAGCTTTATTTTTCACCACAAGCACTCTTTCCAGCTTCTTGTCGCCCGGACCTCTCTACACGGCTTCCTCCACTACACACTTCTCCCCACGCCTCCATCACTATAAAGGGGGGACGGTCATTAGCACCATCATATTTCACCTGTCCCCTCTCACGTCCTGGCACCGCCCCTCCACTGCAGCAGGCCAGAGACCACACCCCTGCCACAGAGACCACACCCCTGCCACGGGAGGATTTTTAAATGCATTTATCATAAAAACACCCAGATGTTTTGTTTACAGGCTGCAGACACGATGGGCCTTCCCCACACTCCCACAGTGAGAATAACTGACTCTTTGATACACTAAAACAAACCGCTCTCTCCACCCCGCGCCTCCGTTTGCCTTTGCAGTCTCAGTGTTCAGTCTGCAAACCTCTTCCCTGCACAGGAAACGTCACAGTTCTGTGTTTTAGTTTTTCAGTAGCATAATTTATGTAAAAGGTGTTTTATAGATGTTGTAAATGAATATATTCCAAAAATATATTGCGTAAATAAATGAGGAGTAAATATCGAGGCAGCGTTCACGTGTGTTTTCTTTCTTTGTTCAGTCTGTTCTGTCTACACACAAAATTATGTCAACATCAGGTTCAAACTTTACATCCAGATATGACTCAATCAGAATATTTGTAAGAAACAACCCTTATTTTTCTTGGTATTCAGAGTCGGACCTGTTCACTTAGGATTAGTGTGTCTGCCCTGACAGCGTACGTTTAGCAGCTTAATGCATTTTATTTATTTTCTGTAGTTCATATTTATTTTTATCCATTTGTGTCTTTTGTGCAGGACTTTGGTCAGCATGACATATTTGATAAATGTGCACAGACTTCTAATCTAAACTGATAATTACAGGACAGTCTGAGCAGTGATGTACCACAACTTTAAAATGCAGCTTCACTGGTCCCGTCCCTCATCACAGCGTAAGATGAGTCTCTGCTCCACACATGAGGAGGTGATCCAGGTGGTTTTTTTGGTGAGCTCCATGGGTCGGCATAAATAAAGACAGCGGTGTCATGGAGACTAAATCCAGACCTCGGCACTCCTGTGTTTGGACCCACTGATCTCCCTCTTGCTCTTCAAAGGCTGCCTCTCTCCTTTATGGGAGTCCTCTCTCCTTAGGGGCTCCGGTCTTTTCTCTCGGACCTCCTCCGGCTCCCTCATCCTGCCGCAGTTCACCGCACAGGTCCAGTCCGGCTGGTGACCCACCACCAGGTTCAGGGTGGGCAGCGAGGTGGTGCTGGTCACGTCCCTGAAGCCTAAAGAGGATGTGAAGGAGGGGCTGTCTGGAGGGAAGGTCTCGTATGCTCCCCAGGACCCGTGCTCCTGCAGCCGCACTGCCCGGCGGATCTTCTTCCAGCCCAGGTGGTTGAGCTCGAGCAGGTTGAGCAGGATGCAGAAAACCCCGACACAAAACATGAAGAGCAGGAAGATGGTCTTCTCCGTGGGCCTGGAGACGTAGCAGTCCACCGGCTGGCTGCAGGGAGACGAGGTGCAGAGGAAGTGGACGGGCACCTGGAAGCCAAACAGCTTCCACTGAGCCAGGACGAAGCCCACCTCCAGGACAGCCCGTAGGCACACGTGGAAGATGTAACATTTGGACAAAACCCCTCCGGAGCTCGCATGAGCCTCTGTGCCCCCCTCCCTGAAGGTGCAGGCTCGGGCCTGGCTCGAGGTTTTGGGGTTCAGCCTCTGGAGGTCCTTGGCGGCGATGCCCTCCAGCACATTCGCCAGGCTGTGCCCCAGGTGCTTATGGGACTGGATGGAGCAGCTGTCTGAGTCGCAGCTCCGATCATAGGCCTCTCGCCCGCCGTCCCGGCCTACCTGCCCCGGCGCATCGCCCGCCCCCTTTCCCAACCTCTGGGTGGCGTTGTGCTTGGACAGGTTGTGCCACGTGTAGATGATGAAGCAGAGCGATGGCGTGGACACACTGATGATGTGGAACACCCAGAAGCGAGGCTGGGAGATGGGCGCGAAGGCGTCGTAGCAGACGGTGGAACAGCCCGGCTGCAGCGTGTTGCACACAAACATCTCCTGCTCGTCGGCGTACACGTCCTCGGTGGCCACGGCGACGATCAGGAGCCGGAAGATGACCATGACGGTGAGCCACAGCCGGCCAATCATGGTGGAGTGCTGGTGCACGGCGTCCAGGAGGCGCTTGAGCAGAGTCCACTCCGTCATGGTGGCCCCCGGCTGCCGGCGGCCGCGAGGAGGGACAAGCTGCCTGGAGTGGAGCAGTCTGCTCCAGAGCGGTCCACCTCCTGAGAGCTCCCCAACGCAGACTCGATGTGGGCCGCGCGGTTTGTTTATGACAGAGCAGCCAGGACGCTAAAATCAAGAAGCTCCGTCCTTCTCTGAACCTGCAGCTGCTCTGAGCCTGAGCGCTCGCCGCCGCTGCCTTCCAGAGAGAGAGAGAGAGTCGCCCATCTTTGGGAGATAAGGATGTCCACTTGACACGAGTCACTTGGCGCGCTCGGTCCTCTCTTGTCCTCAGGATCCATTTAAAACCCGAGAGACATCAGCCTTCCTCTGCTGGAGGAGCTGCTGATAGTGCGCTGATAGAGCATTCTTCACAGATTAGGCCTCTAAAAGCTGGCGGGCTCTTCCTTTAATGGAGACGCCCCTTTTTTTGAAAGATGACTAGTGCAGAAGAACACGCGTGTGTCATGCATGACCGTCACACACAGAAAGTCGCAAAGACGTTTGTGTCTGGAAACACGACGAGCAGAAAGTGGTGTACAGACGAGCCTCCGGGCGGCCACAGCTCGGTCTGTGGAGCTTTTGTGTCTCGGCCTGTTTTGACGGCTCCTCTCGAGCCACTCGCCAATCCTCTTATCTGTGTTTTAAAAAAAGCTCCTTGAAAGGTCTGCGAGCATCAAACCGTCACGTCCCCGAGATAAAACGCTCCCCGACCCCCTGTCTGTACTTCAAACGGTCCCAGGAGCCCCGTGCGAGTCCCTCCTCAGAGCTCCGCACTTTCTATTTCTGACACGAGCGCTCCGAAATGTTGACTCAGCCTCAGCAGAATTCTAATCAAATCCTCACGAGAACACCTGAACCCCGCCCACACCTGACAGACACACGTTTCTTATTGCATACAGCTCACTCAGCCAAGCTGCTTCTCTGCAGACGTGTGCAGGAGAAACAAAGTAAAAACAAAGGCAGAAGATTTTAAATGGGATTTTTGGCTTCAAAGGTAAAAGTAGCTCCTCCCACAGGTTCTCTGAAGGCCAGGAAAGATGCCCAACGGATTTGTTTTTTCACAAAATGTGCCAATGCGTAGGGTTAGGGTTGTTCCACTTGATTGATCTATATTATCATTGTTTATTAATTTAATTTAATTTAAAGTTATTACAAGTTGGACAGACAACTATACAGAAAGAAAGGGAGAAAGAAAACAGAGGAAGGACAGTGGAAGAAGACACTGAGAAAATCTGATCACCTGTTAAAAGAAGAGAAAACAACCTGAGAACAACACGATACAGAGACAACCACACAGACGTGGGGTCACCCAGCAACCACGGTGCAGAAGCCACAGAGGCCGCAGTGACGAGCCCGCAGGCCCCGCCAGTCGCACCAGAGCGGGCCGAGCCACGGTCCCAGAGGCCTGAGGGAACCCCACCCCACGAAGGAGCCCGACACGGCCGTGGGCGCCAGGCCTGCCAAGCAGCCGCTGGGAGTGAGCCGGGCACGCGCCCGAGTGCCGGGCCCCGAACGCCGACGGCTGAGGGCATCAGCCACCGGCAGGTAGTGTGGTGGGTGGAGCTAGGCCTCCACACCTGGACACGGATGTACCCACAGAGGTACCCACAGGTTCAACTACAGGAGAGGTGTTAAATATCAGGCCCGTGGGCCAGAATAAGCACCACAGTAATTAAGTTACAGATTTCTGTATCTTATGCATTTACTTCCTAAGTTCAGGCCCAAAGAGTCCTGCTGACAGATGTCTTTCTGTACAACAGCAGCATCAGCTTTGCTGTATCGTGTAGAGAAAGTGAGACTGTCTCTCATATTCAGATAGCTCAGACATTTGTACCCTGACAGAAAGTTTCAGCGGTGCCACATCAGATCACAGCGCTGCGAAATGAGTTTGACGCACACTTAGGTTTCTTCACTTGGTTTTCCCAAACATGGATAAATTCCTAACAGCCGAGATGTGAAGCAATCAGAGCAGCGATGTCACACCTGCTGACTTCACCAAAACGTTCATCTAAATCTGGAAAACACCACTGCTGAAGTTTGTGGGGTTTTCACCCATCATAGACATTTAAAAAGGTATCCTCTTCACATAAAATAATATCAACACATGTGCATCTGTCACTCACGTCTTTTCCTCTTGATTTTAGTGGCCCAGTAGCAGCTCAGTCTTAATGTAAACCTCGCCTATGGCTTCAAATCCAAAGTGTGGATTCATTTGAATTTGGTGATCAACAGGAAATGTGGTTTCTGTGATGCGCAAAAAGAAGAAAACTGTCTCTCGACGAATTTACTCCATTTTCTCTTTCCTGTTTTTAAAGCTAGCAGCCGCTGGGTGGATTTTTTTTATGAAATTAGTTTTGATTTGACTGATTTGTGCAAACACCGCTCAGACTGAAGGCGACCGCAGGGCTTTGAAGGAGGTTCATCCAAGAACAAACTGTTATTGTCAAGGACAAATAATCATAAAGGGCCACAGATCTTTGTGATTTACACCAATGAGGCTGCGTCACCGTCATCGTGAGACTCAGGTGTGTTGGATTCTTACAAATATAGTATTTTAGTAAAAGCATGATGTGAAGGTTTCCATCTGTGGATTAAAGCAGCATCTGTAACAAGCAGTGACCAGCAGCAGATGGAGTCTTTCACATTCATCGTCCACACGTGAGCTCAGATAAAAGTCCCGCTGGGATCAGAGGGAGAGAGGTGGGAGGACTTTCTTTGCCTGGCCTCTCTTTCTCCTCCTTTCCCTTCAATCCCGCCTGTTATTCATTCCCAGGCTGCTGCTAACAAAGCCCGGAGGAAAAGCACATCACTGGGAATTCCTTCGTGATAATTCCTCTGACAGCAGACGTTAAAACGCACAGGGGGGGAGCCACTTCCTGTCCCGGCTCCCAGTCTGGCTCGGCTCGTGTTGTGTCTGTCTGGGTCTATTTGTGAACCTTGGTGTGCATTGTGTTAAATGGGGCCGGGGGGCCCTCTCTAATCCTGCTCAGGTCGGCAGCGAGGGGCCGCTCTCCAGTCCATCGATCGCTTTCTTTGCTGGGTCCTTTAACAGCCCTCGGGCATTAATCCCGCGTGTACCTCTGTCTGGATCGATAGCAGACAAAAGCACCGCAGGAGGCTGTCTGGACCCGAGTTCTCCATTTACCTGCACGCCCTCATCCTCAGCATGAATGCGGCTACTCTTCCTCACCGGCTCCAGGACCGGATGCTCTGGTTATGACCGACGTTTCTAATGATGAGCTCGGTAACCCCTGAACTCAAATTCAAATTCAAATTTTATTTGTCACATACACAGTCATACACAGTACGATATGCAGT